TGAATAACATGCTTAGTAACAACAAATATTTGTAACAACAAAATCAAAGTGATGGGAAACCAAGGTGTTTTAAGATTTTCCCAACTTGGATTTGATTAGCTCCTTCAACGTGACGATGGGGCGGGCTGGCTCCACAGAAATATTTAATTCAGACAATGGAGAATTAGACCCCTTTAAAGAATCATATAAGTTTATGATCTACTTAAAACAATCAACAACAAACAATAAAAATTTTTCACTCCACCTTAGCCTTAGACCGTCGGAAGATTCTCGGAGTCTTCTTCTTCTTGAAATCATGATGAGGAGAGTCGCCAACCTTCGTTCCCGTCGCAGTCTGGGCCTTCTCCACATTGAACTTGACATTCTCGGCGTTCTTCTTGATCTCGGCGGTCTTCTCGCCTTCAGCTTGCTTCTTCTCCTTTCCGTCCTTCGCTTTTGCGGGTTGCACGGTGTCCTTCTGTTTGGTTCCCCACGTTTTCGCCTTCTCCCAAACAGAGAGCTTGTAACAGTCATCATCGCAATGTTTCGCCACCTCAGATGAAGTCAAGTCCTTGTTGAGCGGTTTATGGAAGTTCCCGTAGCTGCCGTCGTCATGCTCATTGACAACTTCCGAAGTTTGAGGTGGGATATTTTCCTCATCGGGATTGTAGACCGGGGTGATGCAATTGTCGTATCTTGTTTCCAAAAGACTGTCTTCGTTGGGGGAAGGGGGTTTTTTTTTGTCAGCGTTGTGACTAAAATAAAGGTTGTAATATAGATGATAACAAAAATCAATAATCTTTACTGAAAAGTTGTAAAAACTTACCGATTATCGACGGAAGGTGAAATAGGGACAGGCTGTAGAGAGGGCTGACGGGAAGGAGATCCATTATCCGGTTTCAACGCGCGCTTCTTGAAACGACTTCTAAAGAATAGAATGTAGTATCAACGGTATTAGACCAAAAGAATAGCAATAGCTTTTATATAAGGACTTACTGTTTGGAAAGAAATCTGGATCTTCCCTCATTTCTTTGGGCACCAAAGCCACCACGGCCGCCTCCACCACGACCGCCACCACCTCTGCGCCATGAGCCGCGTCCTCGGCCCCCGCCTTGAGATCCTTGCTGGATGATAACTTGCTTTAGTATCTTAGTTTGGCCGTAGGCCTGCAAATAAAAAACAGAAATGAAACATTGTAAAAAAACATAGAAAAACACCAATTTAAACTCACATTCATGGTGATATAGATCAAAAAAGTCCAAAATCTTCAGAAATTTCGATTTTCAGAGCTCTCGAATCAATGAAAACGATACGAAGTTTCGAAACGGTTCAGGAAATGCGCTGGATTCACGTACACTGTCGATCTGAAACCAAAATGAGTAAATTAATGTGTAAGAAAACAAATTGTTTTCGAAAAATACAAAAACAAAGTCCAAAGATGTAAAAATAAGTGAGGGTTGTGAGAGAAAAGAAGGAAGTGGGGGTGAAATATGTGGTAACAGCTTGACAAAGGTTTGACGAAGGTTTGGCAAGGCTTTTGCCAACGTTTCGTCGACCTTTTTGCCCAGTTTTGACCTTATTTTAGGCGGCTCTGGGGTAAACCCGTGTTCCCGCCTAAAATAAGGTCAAAACTGGGCAAAAAGGTCGACGAAACGATGGCAAAAGCTTTGTCAAAGCTCCGTCAAACCTTTGTCAAGCTTTTACCCCATATTGTACCCCCACTTCCTTCTTTTCTCTCAGAAAACTTACTTATTTTTGAGATTTTTTTGAAATTTTACTTATTTTTGGGATTTTTTAAAATTTTTCGGTGTTGAAGGGGGAAGTGGGGGGTGAAAGGCTTTATAAAAGCTTGACAAAGGTTTGACGAAGCTTTGGCAAGCTTTTGCCAACGTTTCGTCGACCTTTTTGCCCAGTTTTGACCTTATTTTAGGCGGCTCTTGGGTTAACCCTTTTTCCGCCTAAAATAACGTCAAAACTGGGGAAAAAGGTCGACGAAACGTTGGCAAAAGCCTTGCCAAAGCTCCGTCAAACCTTTGTCAAGCTTTTATAAAGCCTTTCACCCCTAATTCCCCTTTCACCACCGAAAAATCAAAAAAAAATACCACAAATAACTAAAATTTCAAAAAAATCTCAAAAATAAGTAACTTTTCTGAGAGAAAAAGAAGGAAGTGGGGGTGAAATATGTGGTAACAGCTTGACAAAGGTTTGACGAAGCTTTGGCAAGCTTTTGCCAACGTTCAGTCGACCTTTTTGCCCAGTTTTGACCTTATTTTAGGCGGCTCTTGGGTTAACCCTTTTTCCGCCTAAAATAACGTCAAAACTGGGCAAAAAGGTCGACGAAACGTTGGCAAAAGTTTTGCCAAAGCTCCGTCGAAGTTTTGCCAAGCTGTTACCACAGATTTTACACTCCACAACCTTCTTTTCTCCCCGCCCCCCTTCACAACAACAAAAATAAGAAAAAACATACCTAAATCCGATGTACTTGTGGAAAATGGAACCAAATTGACGTTGATCGGACGGTGTTTTGACTCGAAACAAAATTTCCACAATTGAACTTTGAAAGGCTTGCCGCTGATCGGGGACTACTTGACAAAACTGAAAAAAATGAGTATAATAAAACGTAAAAAGTTATGAAACACGAAAAATAGGAAAAATCTCGAAAGAAATAATAAAAAATTACGAAAGCATTCATATAACAACATGAAATCGTTGCAAAAAGTTTTGTTGCGAAAAAATAGAATCCCTTTTTGGGTAAACAAAGCTGTTTGGGGTGCAGGCTGCGCCCGAGGAACTGCAAATAAATTTTGATAAAATACTTTTAAAACAGCGGGGAATAATGAGATTATTAAAATATAATGAAATTATGATGTTTAGAAAAAAATCGACTTTTTACATGCTTTGACCGAAGTTACAGCCGAAACAAATTTATATTGTACATGATGAAATGGGAGAAAAAATTAATTTCAATAGAAGCAAAAGCAGAAATGAAATATAAAATGATGTAACGTATTAAATTTGTGAATTTTAGGCACCATCTCGACCCGATTTCATAAAGTTCGAGCAAAGTTACAGCGAAATGAAATTTATATTGTACATGATGAAATGTGAGAAAAAAATGTTTTTACTGGAAGAAAAAAGAGGAATGAAATGGAAAATAACGTAGTATATTAAATTTGTGATTTTTAGAGACCATTGCGATCCATTTTTATGCTAATTGACCGAAGTTACAACCAAAACAAAATTATATTACACATGGTAATTGAGAAAAAATTTGAATTTCGCTTATGTAAGCAGGGCTCCGGTCGGCTCCAGCCTTCGGCTGGAGCCTCCCGGAGCAGCAGGCGAGCTGGCTCGGCCTTCGGCCTCGCCAGCTCGCAATAAATTTTTATTCAAATAGTCTTTTTCGCTTGTTTTTTAAATTAGAATAGTCTTTTTGGCTTCTGTTTTCTATTAAAAGTCTTTTCGCTTATGTAAGCAGGGCTCCGGTCGGCTCCAGCCTTCGGCTGGAGCCTCCCGGAGCAGCAGGCGAGCTGGCTCGGCCTTCGGCCTCGCCAGCTCGCAATAAATTTTTATTCAAATAGTCTTTTTCGCTTGTTTTTTTAATTATAATAGTCCTTTTCGCTTCTGTTTTCTATTAAAATAGTGTTTTCGCTTATGCAAGCAGGGCTCCGGTCGGCTCCAGCCTTCGGCTGGAGCCTCCCGGAGCAGCAGGCGAGCTGGCTCGGCCTTCGGCCTCGCCAGCTCGCAATAAATTTTTATTCAAATAGTCTTTTTCGCTTGTTTTTTTAATTATAATAGTCCTTTTCGCTTCTGTTTTCTATTAAAATAGTGTTTTCGCTTATGCAAGCAGGGCTCCGGTCGGCTCCAGCCTTCGGCTGGAGCCTCCCGGAGCAGCAGGCGAGCTGGCTCGGCCTTCGGCCTCGCCAGCTCGCAATAAATTTTTATTCAAATAGTCTTTTTCGCTTGTTTTTTTAATTATAATAGTCCTTTTCGCTTCTGTTTTCTATTAAAATAGTGTTTTCGCTTATGCAAGCAGGGCTCCGGTCGGCTCCAGCCTTCGGCTGGAGCCTCCCGGAGCAGCAGGCGAGCTGGCTCGGCCTTCGGCCTCGCCAGCTCGCAATAAATTTTATTGAAACTCTCTGTCTCGCTATTGGCCGAAAATCGGCCGTTGCTCGCTCAGTTCGAAACCGATTGGGCTGAAATTTGGCACGATGGAAGCTTACCGAATTTGTCAAAAATTGACCCGAGCCGAATTTTGAATTTCGAATCTTACGTGCCCTGAGGGCGGAATTTGTGCGAAAAATGCCAAAAATCGGCCCTCTGGCAACTGCGCAGCTACAGTGGGGCGACGTCATGAGCTGAAAATGGTTATGGAGCTACTCCAGGCAAATACAAAGGCACCGCGAAACTCTTTTTTGAATTTCGTCCCCGATTCCGCGAATGAGGACTTTATATTACACTTGACACCTGACCCTGGGGAAAAATTTTGAATTTTGGCCCGGACGGTCGTATTTTAGAAAATGAAAATGCTATTCGGACCGATAATTCACGCTGATCACGATGGTGTACGTCTCGATTCACGAAATTTGAATTCTGACGCCCTGAGGGCAAAGTTCGAAATTTTCGAAATCCCGAAAATCGGCCTTCTGCCAACGGAGCAGCCTCGGGGAGAAGACCTGAGAAGCTGAAAAAAATGCAGAGGGAAGGTAATTCAATTGCCACAAACGTTATGCAGCCCTTTTTTTGAATTTCGCCTTCAGTTTCGAGAAAAAAAATTTTAATGTTGTTCATGACACCTGCTCCGTGGAAGAAAATTTTGAATGTCTAAAATACGAAACGTTACTGCGGCGTGTGATACATGTTCCTAGGTCAACTCGTACACGCTGAATCCAATGGAACACATGAAATTCCGAAAAATTTGAATTCCGTGCCCTCAGGGCCGGTTTGGTCGAAAAATTTCGAAAAATCGACCTTCTGCCAACGGAGCAGCTTCAGCGGCACGATCCCAGAAGCTGAAAAAAATGCAGAGGGAAGGTAATTCAATTGCCACAAACGTTATGCAGCCCTTTTTTTGAATTTCGACTCCAGTTTGGAGAAAAAAAATTTTGATATTACACATGACATCTGATCCCCGGGAGAAAAATTTTCGTCACGAAAGTAGGAAACGCGATGTAGCCGTGGTTGATGTGTGTTCAGGTGTAATCGAGCATGCTGAATCGAATGCTATCAACAGAATTCCGAATTTCGGCCGTCTAAGTGCAGTTTCGGCCGATTTTCCGGAAAAAATCGGAAAAAAAATTAACGTGAATTCGGCTTCTGCCAATCGCGCAGCTTCAGCGGAGCGATCCCAGAATCTGAAAAAAATTCAGAAGGCACCCAGAGGGAATACGACGAAAATGACTGAGCTTTTTTTCCGAATTTCGATCTAGTTTTCCAGAAAAAAATTCCGGAAAATTTTGACTTTTTTGGGAAATTTCGGAAAATCTCGAATAGCTAAAATACGAAATACGATAGCAAGATACGAAGGGTGGTTCTAGGGTATATCAGGCATGCTGAATCAGAATCCGTTGTCAAAATCCAGAAATTCCGTCATCTTGATGGTGAAATCTGGAAAAAACCGAAAAATGCCGAAAATCGCTTATAACTTTCGACCGGTCGATAATTGTAAATTGTAAGTGGGCTTCAGAAGCCTTAGAATTTTGCGTAGAATACGATTCAATCAAAAAATTCCCGAAAATCCGACGTATATGCTGGAGACCCTCAGGGCATATATGACAAAATTTCGAAAAAACGCAAAGTTCCGTCACGAACAGTTGATGAACATGATGTAAAAAGCTCGGAAACTTTTCTCTGTAAGAAAAAAGTTACAGCCAATCTAAGAAAAAAAAATCTCACTTTCAAACGGCCGTAATTCCCGCCAAAATCGGCGGAAGGGAAATCAAAAAAATTAAAAGTCTTAGAATTTCGTGTTCTACCGCTATGCCAAATTTCAGGACGATAAGTCAACGTCTTCGATTTTTTACTTTTCTCACTTAGGTTTCTTTCGATTTTTTGAAGATTTTCCGCAAAAAATCGTTTAAAATTTTGATTTTTGGGAATTTTAAGATGTCAGATTTTGTGAGGATTTAAATTTAGATAATTCTAGATCTAAAAATTAACAAAATTCCAGATTTTTCCCCGATTCTCCACCTAAATCATCTAAAATAATATAATTTTTTGGTTTTCAGTCCCCTCACTTGCTACCACTACCCTGGACCGGTCCGAGGATGGGTCCCCCTCCAAATCCAAAGGCCGTCCCCCAAACACTTTAGTCAGCACTCAAGCCCAACAAGAGCAAAATCAAATGGCCCAAGGCGTGCTGACCAACCTGATCTCCGCCTACACCGGCTGTTTTTGGCCCTTTTGGAAGCCGAGGAAGCCGGAGTTTGATCGATTCGGCTTGGAGGTGAAAGTAAGTAGCGTTTTTTCCTGTCTACAAACTTTGTTGAATTCATTGAATTTTGCACGGTGCAGTAAAATTTTCGATAAATTTTTTGAACTGCACAGTGCAGTAAAAAACAGAGAAATTTAAAGGGTTCTTATATTGCCTGAGGCAGTTTTTTTAGCCATATCGCTAATATTCACTTTGCTCTCTGCACCGTGCAAAAATAAAATTTTAAAATTTTGCACGGTGCGATGAAAATTTCGACAAATTTTTTGAACTGCACAGTGCAGCAAAAAACTGAAAAATTTGTAGGGTTGTTATGTTGCCTGAGGCAGTTTTTTCGCCATGTCGCTGATATTCAATTTTTCTCTGCACTGTGCAAAAAAGTTTTTAAAATTTTGCACAGTGCAGTGAAAAAAATCCCGTCAAAAATTTCATCGCATAATAGTGCAAGAAGAAAAATTTTTTTTTGCACAGTGCAAGTTAGTCCAAATATTTCATTTTTTGACAAAATTTCTCAAATTCAATTTCCGCACCATGCGAAAATCAAAAATTTCTTAATGCACCGTGCGATAAAATTTTTCAGGCGATTTTTTGATTGCACAGTGCGCACAAATTCAAAAATTTTTGCAGGTTTAAAGTTCTTGCCTCGGGCAATATTTTTTATATTGTTGCTAATATTTACCTTGTTTTGGGCTTTAAAATTTGAAAAAATTTAAAAAATTGTGTCTGCACGGTGCAATGAAAATTTCGGTAGATTTTTTGAAGTGCACGGTGCAGTAATCAACAAAAAATTTTTAAGGCTTGTAAGGTATACCTGATGCATTATTTTTCATCGCTGCCCTCAGGGCTAATTCTTTTTTGCACAGTGCAAAGAAAGAAGTTTAAAAATTCCGCACTGTGCAGTCGGATGTTTTTTGTTTTTTGCACTGTGCAAAAATTTTTTGGGCTAAAATTAGTTGAAATATTGTTTTTTACACTTACTGAGACATTTCTAGGACAACCACGAGATCGGCTTGGACTGTATCGAGATCGATTTCAACAAGAATTACATTGGCGGCGGGAATCAGAGCTCGGTGTTCCGCGGCAAATGGAACGGGCGCTACATTGCGCTGAAGAAGCTGAACCGCGCCTCCGAAGTGGACATTGACAAGCTGGTCAAGTTGAATCACCCAAATGTCATCAAGACGTTGGGCATCAGCAGCAAGGAGATCTATCCCTGCATTATCATGGAGTACTGCGAACAGGGAGGCCTGTTCGATGTGCTGCGGAGAACTCATGTGGATAAGAAGCTGTTCATCGATTGGAGCAAAGGCATTGCCGCTGGCATGCAATACTTGCATTCGTTGAAAATTGTGCACAGAGACTTGAAATCGCCAAAGTAAGAATTTTTTTAATTTTGAAGGGGATTTTTGGGAAAAATGGTCAATTTTTGGTTGAAAATGGTCGATTTTTGTATGAAATTTGATGTGAAAAGAAAGAATATGTTTTTTTTTTGAACATTTTACAGTGCCTTTGAGATAGATTACTCTGTAGTTTTTTCCGATTTTTATAGATTTTTTCCAATTTTTTTCCATTTTTTCGGCAAAAAAATTTTTTTTATGATGATAAAAAAAGTTGCGCAAATTTTAAAATACGAGCCCAAAATCATTCTCAGTAATTTTTTTTTGAATTTCTCTTCGAATTTTTTGATTTTTTAAACTCTTTTGGAATTTTTTTGCAATTTTTTTCAATTTCACCCAAAAATTTTTCAGCATCTTGGTCGACAACGCAAACACCGTCAAAATCTGCGACTTTGGCTCGCTCTACAGCTGGGACAAGACCTACATGCCAAGTGTGGTGATGTCGGTTTGCGGGACCTCGCAATGGATGTCCCCGGAAATGATGAAAAACGAGCCCTGCAACGAGAAAGTGGACGTGTGGTCGTTTGGGGTGGTACTTTGGGAGCTGTTGTTTCAGGAAGTCCCGTATAAGAACCTCCCACCGATGGCCATTATGTTCAATGTGGGCTCGGAGTGAGTTTTGAAAACTCGGAATTTTGAAAATTTGAAAATTTTTTTGCACAGTGCAAATACTATTACTATAGTACATAGGTTTCATTTTTTTTCGAATTTTCATCTCAGTGCACTGTGCAAAAACTTTCAAAAAGGTTCTGCACTGTGCGGAAAATCAAAAATTTTCGTCTTGCACCGTGCAGTGAAACTTTTGATCTAATTGTTGAACAGCATAGTGGAGTAAATGACAAAAAAATTGTATGGGGTTTTTGGCCATGCCATAGTGAGTATTTTCCACCATATTGCCAAAACTAATTTTGCTTTCTGCACTGTGCAAAAATCGAATTAAAAATTTCGCACTGTGCAGTCCGAATTTTTTTGGATTTTTGCACTGTGCAAATTTTTTTGTTAAAAAATAAGTTGTAAAAAGATAGAGAAATGTCAAAAAAAAAATGTAATATTTTATTTATTTGTGTTTTTCAGCCGCCTCAAACTGCATATTCCTCGCACCGCGCCCGATTGTTACAAATTGCTCCTCAAAATTTGTTTCGCCAAAAGACCACGAAACCGACCGTCGTTCACCTCGATTCTGAACCATTTGGAGAACATACGAGTAGAGATTGAAAACATCAGCGATGATGCGTGGAGAATGCGCAAAGAGGCCTGGAAAAAGGAGCTGAATGATGAGGCCGACAAGCTCAAACATAACAGTAATAATGCCGAAGCTGAGGCGGTCAAAGGTGAGAGAATTTTTTAGATTGTATTTTAGCACTTTTTGAGGTCGAAAAAAGTTTTTTCTCGAATTTTTTTTGGTTAAAAAATCAAAAAATTTCATTTTGAAAAAAAATTTTTTCTTTTTTTCGATTTTTCCCCTCAAAAAATCTCATTTTATCATGAAATAAAAATTTTTTTTTTATTTTTTGATTTTTTCCGCAAAGAAATCAAAAAATTTTATTTAAAACATTATTTTTTTTGGTTTTTTCATATTTTTTCCATCAAAAAATCTCATTTTATTATCAAAAAAATATATTTTTTATTTTTTTTTTACCGAATTTTTACAAAAAAAAAATTTTTTCAGTTGAAAATTTGGTGACAAAACGAATGCACGAGCTCCGCCATGCCCAAGAATTGAACCAACTGTACAAGACGAAAATGAAAAGGCTTGACAAATTGATGGACAAACTCATGTATAATTTGCAACACATCCAATGCATGGAAATTGTGAGGAAAAATTTGTTATTTTTGGGCCTAAAATACGAAATTTTTTTTTTAATTTTTAAAAATTTTTACTTAATTTTTGGTAAATACATGTTTTAAAATGAATTTTAGTAATTTTGAAAATTTTTACATTACTTCTTCACCTATATTTTATCGATTTTCCCTCATTTTTCCACTTTTTCCCAATTTCCCCTCAAAAAATATTATAATTTTCTCTCAATTTTCAGGCCTTGGAAGAGCGTGAGCGTCGTGTGGCGGAAGAAGAAGCCCGTCTAGCCCATCTCGCAGCCAATGCCAGTTGTTATCCGTCCGCCAGCACCTCCACGAACCCTTCGGCGGGCTGTTTTCCCGGTCTCAGAGGTCCCGAGTTGAAGTCGGTCAAGCTGCAGCCTCGACCGTCTACGGTCAGGACAAACTTGAGATCAAATAAGACTTATACTGAGTAAGTTCGAGCTTGTTTTGGGCTTTGAAAATTGAAAAAATGAAAAAAATTTGGGCTGCACAGTGCAACGAAAATTTCGGTAAATTTTTTGAGCTGCACCGTGCAGATAATACCAAAAATTTTTTATAGGCTTATTTATCTTGCCTGAGGCATTATTTTCCACCGCTACCCTCAGGGTTAATTCTTTTTTGCACTGTGCGAAAACCAAAAATTAAATTTTTGCACTGTGCGATTAAACTTCTGATCGATTTTTTGGAATCACACAGTGTTGATAACATCAAAAAATTTTGTGACGTTGTAAGTCATGCCTTAGGCATTGTTTTTCATCGCTACCCTCAGGGCTGATTCTTTCTTACACTGTGCGAAAACCAAAAATTTCATTTTTGCACTGTGCGGTTAAACTTTTGATCGATTTTTTGGAATCACACAGTGTTGATAATATCAAAAATTTTTGTGACGTTGTTAATCATGCCTCACGCGTTATTTTTTACCATTACGCCCTATGGCCCACTTTTTTTGCACTTGGCAAAAATCACTTTTCTAAAATCCGCACAGTGCGTTCAATTTTTTTCTTTTTTTAACCTTCTACGTTTCAGTATCTACCAGCAGCCCGGGCAACATGCCATTCTGACCATGCAAGTGGACGCCGAAGACGATGATTCGCCCATTGAGCCGCACAGTTCCACCTCGCCGAGCTGTTACACCTCCCCAAATCATCTTCATTGCTCGATTTCGGCGAACGAAATGAGTCGCCGTCTCACCGACACCGTCTCCCATTCGGTGTCAAGTCTTCCACTGCACACTACCGAGTCCACGGAGGAGTTGGCCAAGTGTCCGCCGCGTTCGCGGCACAGTTATGCGCTGGGCGGGCATCAAAGTTCGTTCGATTCGCCGGAATCTCGATTTTCATCGAGAGTTTCATCGGCTCGCAGTTCGCTAAACACCATGCAACGAACTAATAACGGCTCAGGGTTGTATTTGCGGCGTCCTGCGGAGACTTGTGATTGTGCGCGCGCAGAAATTGAGCGAAAATCCGACCACGAACAGTGCAGCTGCGCCTTCAAAAGGAACACTCCGATTCGAACCTCTGGTGCTTCCTGCGACTCCGGCTTCTATGGGACGGTGGCGGAGGGCTCTATGGCCAGTATCAACGGGAATAACACTTGTTTGTGCGTCGCCCCATGCAATGATTGCCAATTCCCGGAACAACGAGGAACCTACACTCCCTCGGATTTGTATCGCAATCAACAAGCGAGATGGAGCGACGGATTGATCCATAGAAGATCCTGTTTACCTCCCACGAGTTTAACGCCGACCAGATCCGCCGCCAATATGGCGAAACGAAGCCGACGCCATACGGCTTCGGCGTTCGCGAGAGGATCGCCCGCGAGAGTTCCGAATGTTAAAAGACGAAATCAGAGCAAACCCCGAGACCTGAAAGGAAGATCCACCGGCAATTTGGCCACTGGAATCGAGAATTTGAGGAAGCAAACCTCGCTGGAAGAGGAGAGATATGCGAATTTGGAGGGAATCTCGGATTTCGGAGAGAAAATCGGTGTGAGAAAATTCGAGGAGAGCCTGAGCGGCAAGGTAAGGCATTTTGGAAATTTTTGACGTCATTTTTTACTATGGAAATTGAATTTTACTGTTTGCACTGTGCAAAATCAAAAATTTTTGCCTTGCACTGTGCGGCGAAACTTTTGAAGGAATTTTCGGAAAGGGGAATGCAGAAAATTAAAAAAATTTTTGATAGGGTGATTGAGCATCCCCTAGGGATTATTTTTTTATGTGTTTGAAAAATGTTTGCTTTTTACTGCACGGTGCGGAGTAAAAATTAGAAAATCTGCACGGTGCAGTCGAAAATTTTGAAACTTTTTATTGGATGGAAATTGGCCACTCAAATTTTCTGGAATTTCAATATAGCTCCTTAAAAGGTATCCTGCAAAGTTTTGAGCTTTTTTCAGCCTAAAATTTGAGTTAATTTCGAGATTTTTTGAAATTTTTTTTCATTTTTAAATTTCAATTTTCAGTCCAAAGACCGCAATGAACGCGCCCAATCAGTCCACATCGCCAATAACAACCAAATTCACGACGAATACGACGACGGAGAGTACGAATTGGACGATGAAAATGACGACGAATCCAACCGATTCGACGACGAAGAGGACGCCATTATGGGAGATGACGAAGCGATCAAAATAAACGCGAATCACATTATCAAACGGATCCGAGGACCGATCGCGGAGGCGATTTTGGAGATGGACTCGTCGATGAGTTCGTCGACGAAATCGCAAAAATCCCCGAAAAAGGGACGGAATAACAATTTGAAGATGGAACAGTCCACTTCCACGATGGCCTCGAGTCTGGAGAGGTCGTTGGAAATGGGCGCCGTGGATCATGATGGGCTCTCGGACAAGGAGAAGCAACTTACGGCGGTCACGAAGAGCTATCAAAGACATCGGAGATGTGCTAGTGTAAGTTCAAATTTGATCAAAAAAATGGACTACAACAAGTTTCAAATTTCTAAATCTTGACTTTTTTAGACCAGAAATTCTTATTTAATCCTTGCACAGTGCAAAAATTCAAATAAAACTTTGCACGGTGCAAAAATTAAATTTTTGATTTTTGCACTGTGCAATGAAAATTTATGTTAAATTTTTGTCACGCAAAGTGCAGCAGAGAAAAAATCCTTTTTGTCAAATGACAATCACACATTTGACATCATTAAGAAATGTATTACAACCAATTTCCTTTTTGTTGCACTGTGCAAAAATTTAAAAATTATTTTTTTGCACCGTGCGACCAAATTTTTTTTACATTTTTTAGGATTGCAACCTTCAGCAGTTGACAAATAGGTTGCGTAAAATAAACGTCACTCCTTTGACATCATTCTGAGATCCATTACATTCAATGTGTTTGTCACTGCACTGTGCAAAGATCAAAATTTTAAAATCCGCACTGTGCAGCATTTTTTCTTAATTTTGCACTGTGAAAAAAGCAAAAAGCAAAAAAAATCTTTGGCCTTTGTCTATGGTAATAAAACATTAATATGGCCATTTTTCAGAACCCAATCTGCATAATGGAAGCCCAGAAATTCAACCGTCTCAAAGAAGTCAGTACCGAAAGCGACGAATCCGGACGTTGTTAGCGAACACTAGTTATCATTTTATTGTTAATTTTAATAATATTGTTAGTCAAACAGAGCTGTAAATAAAAGATTTTTACCCTTAATTTTAATTTTTTAATGAACATGAAGCGCACCGTGCGAAAACTAAAATTTTTGGTTTTTTCGCAGTGCAAGGCAAAACAATAGCTAAAGAGTGGTAATGAAAAATATGGATATAGCATGCCTAACAATCCAGTAAACATTATCCTTAGCTTACTTCAGCGTGCAGTTAAAAAAACCATGAGAAAATTTCATTGCACTGAGCAAAAAAAAATTTTTTGTTTTTTGCACAGTGCAAACAATACAACGCCTAAGGGAAAATGGTGTAAAAAGATACCTCACCCATGTTTATCAAGCCCATAAAAAATGAAGCCATCTTTTGCACCGTGCTTTTAAAAAAATCGTTTTAGTTTTGACTGCACAGTGCGAAAAACAAATTTTTGATTTTCGCACTGTGCAGAAAAACGTAAATGGAAATTTCGACAGATGCATTTTTAGTGTGTGATATTTGTTTTTGGCGTATTTTAAAAGTTGTTTACTAACAAAAAGACTCATTCGAATGACCAATTTCCGCTAAAATGACATTCCCTAAGCCTCTTACGTAATTTCCTCCCGAAAACTTGTAACCGTACTGCTACCACTCAAAAAACACCTTAGCCAGACAAATTACGTGTTCGCCCGTCATAATAGCCTCAGGCAGGACAACGGGGAAAGGTTCTTTTCGACGTAATTAGCACTTGTAACCCCTCATTGTTCGCTTCCATCCGCCAATAATCCCAGATTACATTATCTTCGGTGGGCACGAAGCGGAAAAGTGTTAATTCCCGCCGGAGGGCATTGCTTTATTCCCAATTCATTCCCTGTTATTTTTCGGCGGCCCCAAATTTGGTGGCATTCACACCTGATTAAAGTTTATTCGAGCCGTTTTTTTCGCTGTTTTGGGAGAGTTTCCGCTTTCAAAAGTAATGCCCGACACATCATGGGTACGTGAGGAGGTGCGGAAAGTCGGTTCGGAATAGTGTAATGCCTAATTTGGCGGGTTATAAATAAAGTTTGAGGGGTCATTTGGAATTTTATGAGGTTCGAAAAAATTGGATAATTTCGAATTTAAACTCTGGTAAAAATAAGCATTTTGCTGCGATATCAATGGCATAGCCTCAAAACTTTTCTGCTGTTATGAAATTTTCAAAATTAACACTCAAAACTTCCGTACTGTGCAAAAAACAAAAAAACTTTTTTTTCGCACTGTGCAGCCAAACTTCAAAAGGAATTTTTGAACTGCACAGTGCGACTAAAAAGCGAATATTTTATAGGCGTGTTCAGCAAATCATAGCGTCCTTTTAACCGCTATTACTGAGACCAGATCTTCATCTGCGCTGTGCAAAAATCAAGAACTCTTTTTTTCGCACTGTGCAGTCCAACTTTCATTCAATCTTTACGCACAGTGCAATAAACAAAACATTTTTTTATTTTCCAGTTCCCTACGCCTAAGGCAGTATTACATCCCACGTTTTTTCCGTATTTTACCCTGTTCTGCACTGTGCCAAAAACAGTCTCAAAAATCTGCACAGTGCAAACAAATTATATTTTTTTACACAAAAATTCCATTTCTCCGTCCAAAAAAATCAATTTTGACCTCCAAAATTTTCAAAATCTCATCCACAAACATCTCCGTACAGTTATTCCCAAACACTTTTTGCCCTCTCCACCCCTTTGACCACGCCTTTTTCCCCGCCGGCGTCAAGTTGTTTTAAATCCCGTATGAAGACCTTATAAAGTGTACTTTGCGTAAAGGGGATTCACCTCAAAACGCTTATTATTTGACCTTCTTATGGATCGAGCGAGAAGAGGGAAGAAGACCCGGAGGGATCGTCTTACTAAACGGGATTTTACGACCTTATCCAGTAATAAAAAAGAGTGGTGGGGAGAGTAAAATATGACTTTCCATATGTTTTTGAAAGGGGGAATTTAGGGGATTTAGCTGGAAGGGATTTTTTTGATTTTTTTATTGGGAAAAACATGGGGTTTTTTGGGGCGAAATGCACTGTGCAAATTTATTTTTTCGCAATTCTCGCAGTGAATCGCCAAAATAGCACTGTGCAAATGACTTCTGGCCTTCAGTGGTGTTTGGAGAAGTCAAAAAAGTTCGGTTTTTTCTCGGTGGGCCAAAATGTTTCAACATTTTTTTTTGCACTGTGCGGGTGCATGCAGTCGGCATTGCGAAATATCGCACGACACAAATTCGGTGGGGTGTCAAACAAGAGTGCACTGTGCAGTTTCATTCACGCGACATAAGCTTCTTTGGCGCTTTCAGCAAAATTCATTTTGCACTGTGCAACGTGAATTTTACCTGTCGCTGTTTGGAAAGATGCGACAAGGTTTTCGCAAGGCCGCCGTGCACTGTGCAGGCAGGTCAAGACTTTTTGGGCAACACGCTTATCCCGAGAACAAAAAAAATTAAAACCCGCGCTTTTTGTTTCTTTTTTATTTCCAAGGATCGGCTAAAGTAACATCCGAAAAATGAGTAGAGAAAAATGCCAGTCATATTTGAAGAAGAACAAAATTTAAATTCACTAAAAAATTTCCTGGAGGGGTAACATTTGTTTCTTCTTGGATTGGGAAACAAATACATGAATATTTTTTCTCTGGCCGGCTCTCCTCATTTTCCATAGTCTCAGCGTTACAAAAATTGATGAATATTTTGGCTCAATCTGCAAATTGTGACCTAAAACTTTCATGAGTTGATTTGTGGGTTACATAATTTCTTTATTAAAAATTTGAGGGAAATCTGAGCAGTTACCTTCCAACACCTCTTACTGGAAGTGCAACGCTCAGATCTCCCTCAAATTTTGAACGCCTACTCTATGTAACTCACAAATCAAATCGTGAAAGTTTTAGCTCACACTTTGCAAATTCAGCCGAGATATTCAACAATCTTTGCAGACGAGGGACTATGGAAAATGAGGAGAGCCGGCCAGAGAAAAAAATATTCCTCATATTCCTCCATATATATTTGTCTACCAATCCAAAAGAAACCAAATTTATCCCCCCAGGCAATATTTTCAGTTAAATTTAACTCTACTTCAAATTTGACTGACGTTTTGCTCTACTCATCTTTCGGATGTTACTTTAGCCGATCCACGGAAATAAAAAAAAAACAAAAAGCGCGGGTTTTAATTTTTTTTGTTCTCGGGATTTGTTTGCATTTGTTTCTGCAGGTAAAAAAACGTGTTGCGACGGCCGTTTTTTATATAAAAAAGAGCGGACATTTTACGAACGAATACGACATCGTTTTTCGTCCGGGATTTTATGGGATTTGTAATATTTTTGGAGCGATAAATCTGGATTTACGGGATTTTTTTGGCTGTTTGAAGTAAAATACGGTGAATATTTCGTATTTGTTGTAATTTTGCTTGATTTAAAAAATTTTTTTTGAATAATTTTTTTTATTTTGAACTACTTCCCCTCAAAAAAAAACAATATCGGGTGTCTTCGTTTTACCTTCGAACCATGTGCATATTTACTTTTCCGCAAAAAAACATGGAATATAAATCCTGACCTTGCCGAGGGATGTCATCCCATGTTTACCCACCCATTTTTCTCGCCCTCTCCCATTCTTCGACGTTTATTGCCCGAGGAGGAAAGGAAGGGGAGGGGAAAGGAATGATAAACGTAACGATTATCAGCCTTTTATTTGTTCAAGATGAAGTCGAGAAGGGGCGATGAGTAATATTCTCGTGGACTTTACGGAGTTGACCCGGGTGGTTAGGAGGATAAATAGTTTGATTTTGGAGGTAAATCCGGGATTTTTTTGATTTTGAAAAAAATTGAGATTTTTTGATCTTCAAAATATTTATTTGGGAAAATTTTGACCTTTTTGGGGCTAAAATGAAATCTAATCGACCCTTAGCCCTCGCATTTTCTTCAAATTTTGCCTATGCAATCTACCTAGGCCATAAATCAGTTCCTGAAAAGTTTAGCTCGTCCTTTGCAGACGACGCCGAGGTATTCAACAATCTTTGCAGACGAGAGACTATGGAAACGAGTGGAGAGGGTCAGAGATCCCCAAATATAGTTTTTTTTTGCGCTATGGTTGTCCCATACACAAAAAAACTACATTTCTCGGCCTGTCTTCCATAGTCTCTCGTCTGCAAAGACTGTTGAATATCTCGACGTCGTCTGCAAAGCGCGAGCTAAAATTTTCAGGAACTGATTTGTAGCCCAGACAGAGTGTATAGACAAAATTTGAAGAAAATGGGATGGTCAAACGTCAATTAAATTTCATCTTTAGCCCCAAAAAGGTCAAAAATTTCCCAAAGAAATATTTTGAAGATTAAAAAATCCCAATTTTTTCAAAATCAAAAAATCCCGATTTTGCCTCCAAAAACAATACATTTATCCTCCAAACCGCCTGGGTCAACTCCGTAAAGGCCAGGAGAATATTACTCATAACCCGTTCTCGACTTCATATTGAACAAATAATAATGTCATCAAAAATGTCATAGGCCATTTTTTCAAATTGACATTTTTGTTTTGCAAAACGAATTTTTACCCGAACAAAGACGTGGACGATCTTTTTTCCGTATTTTATATCGATAATCTATACTGCTCCACAAAATGATAGACGCACCCTTTTTTTACCGATTATCTTCCTTATACTAAATGATATCCAAAAATGTTCAACAGATGAAATGTGGCTAATTAACCGAGAAATCATGTCCCATACCGATTTTGGAACAAAATTTTGTCTTGACTGAAATTTTGAAATTTTTTGATTTTTATGCTCCACAAAATGATAGACGCACTTGAATAATTTTTGATTTTTTTAAATAAATTTTGAGTCAACCCGCTCTTGTCGCACTTCCCCGTGTTCTCTGTAGTGTTAAGAAGGCTATTACATTCATATCCGCCGTACTTAATCGACGCAATGGCCTCATGGGCCATCTGCGACCTTGTACATGAGGTAAGCATTAGTTTTTAAAAAAATGCCAGTTGGGCTGTTTTCTTGAGCGAGAAACTAGCTAATGCTATTACATTATGCGGGTGGATTTCATTAATGCAAAAAAATCAGCTTGCTCAAAGATCTCGCGTATTTTCTTGGCATATCATCTTCAACAAGTAGCTACCGTAATACTTTAGACCCCGAAATACCAAGACGAATAGACGAGAATCATAAAATTTGATATGCAAATTCGAACTCAGCATGCCTGAAAACATAATGCTTCAATCATCAGCCGTTACAAAATAAATCGGGTCTGTAAAGTTCGTTCTACAAAAAAGTTCACAAAAATAGGCCAAAATAGGCTTACTTTTACGCATTTATCTTTGAACTAACTACCTGCGGCAGATAGCACCTTTAAGCAAGCAATAAGTTGCAATTATAGGTTTTTTAGCATGCTGAGTTTGATTTTCTAAGCAAAAAGTTGCCATGGATAGTAATTTTCTGTGCTTTTAGGGCCTTTGAAGGTTACTGTAGAAGGTATACGGTAACTTATTGGTCGATTAAATGAATTCAAACGAATCGGTGTTGATTTATTTTACAACTTGTAGTTACTACAAGTAATCTAAGATGTTTCTTGGCGAAAATAAATCGTTAATCGGGGGGTTTTTTCAAAACTAATGTTTACCTCATGTACAAGGTCGCAGATGGCCCATGAGGCCATTGCGTCGATTAAGTACGGCGGATATGAATGTAATAGCCTTCTTAACACTACAGAGAACACGGGGAAGTGCGACAAGAGCAGCTTGACTCAAAATTTGTTTTAAAAAATCAAAAATTATTCAAGTGCGTCTATCATTTTGTGGAGTCTAAAAATCAAAAAATTTCAAAATTTCAGTCAAGACAAAATTTTGTTCCAAAATCGTTATGGGACATGATTTCTCGTTTAATAAGCCACATTTCATCTGTTGAACATTTTTGGATATCATTTAGTATAAGGAAGATAATCGGTAAAAAAAGGGTGCGTCTATCATTTTGTGGAGCAGTATACTGCCTTTTGACTGTTTAAAATTTAAAAACTTAATTTTTCTTTTTAATTTTCTCCCCAAAAAATCATAAATTTTTGGTCAAAAAAACTCTGTCCATTATCACGCTAATCCAATTTCATCCCCCTTCCATCTATTTCTAGCCATCTTCATTAACAATTTCTCTTAACCAGTAATCTTAAAGGTGTTCTCTTCGCATAAATCCGTCAAAATCCCGCTAATCCGCCCCGAAAATTCGCCGAAAATGGAACCAAACCCCGAGGTTTTGATTCCAAATTTGTGCCAGTTCAAAATCAATTACTTTTTTGGGGTTGCAAAAAGTTTATGGAGCAATTTTATGGACCCTCATTAAGTGTAAATTGCAAAAAGCGGTTTTTAATTGGAAATACGGCGTATGGAAAGGAGTAATTTGGAAGGGAATGCCACGGGAAATGACGTTCTCCGGGGGGAACACATGGATTATTATTTGGCGGGCCAAAAAGTCTCAAAATGTTTTCGCAATCGTGTCCCGATTTTTCGGGTCGACACAAAATCGATCGATACGGGGCATAGGGCAGGTGAATACACCAAAAAAAAGGTTGTAGGAAGTGCCTAAGAGGCCTAGCAAAGCCGTTGGATGGTCTGCGGACACTCGGCGAAGGCTCGGCGGAGACTTGGCGAAGACTTCCAAGATATTTACTGTTTAAAATTTTTAATTTTAGCTATTACTATCTTTAGTTTTCCTTATAGTCGGGACGCCCGGCGGAGACTTGGTGAAAACTTTCAGTATGACTACTTTTTCTAACTTTAGCCATTTCTACCCTTATCGTAAGCCTTCTCCTCCCCCATGGGGCTGTTAGATACCCAAAAAAGGCTGCAGGAATTGCCTACGAGGCCTAGAAAAGCGGTTGGATAGTCGACGGACGCTCAACGGAAGCTTGGCGGAGACTTGCAATATGCCCACTTTTTCTCATTCTAGCTATTACTAACGTTAGTTTTCCTTACCCCGAGTTATTGTAACATATAAAAGACCAAAATTTGAGGCAAAAAACGATGATCCGTAACTTTTATTCAGATATTATTGATGTGAGTACATGTAAAATACCTCAAAATAGGCGATAAGCCATCCTAGGACCCGATCAATCTTATTATTTCGACTAGCTAACCCTTCTCCTAGCCTATCCCATGCATATACCAGCAGGACGTATTTTACCATTTACTGCCATTTTTTCAAAATATTTTTGATTTTTTCGCCGAAAAATCGATAAAAAATCTTACGAAAAAATGATGACTTTAATCGGATTTCAGCCAAAAATGGATTTCTAGTTTTGAAGGCTACTTCTAAACGCCGTATTTTACCATTCTATTTCATTTTTTATACCCAGGTTTATCCCTTTTACTTCAAAAATTTTCCAAAAAATTCGTGTTGTAGAGAAGCGTATTTTACAATAAAACTTTATTCCACAATAGCTTCTATGATTTTTAATCCAAACATGGCCAAAAAGGCCACTTTTCCCTTAAAATCTCCATTTTTATACCTAAAATAATATAAATCTTGTATTTTTCCCCCAAATATGTTCACAAACCAGCGTTAATCCCTCCTAGACGTATTAAGCAGACGATTTACAACCTGCCATCACGCAATAACACCTTGAATTGCCCTCCATTGAAACTCATTCATCTAATTTTCAGCCCAAAACCCCCGTTTTTCTCGTGGCTAATTTCGCTTCCGATCAGTACAATAATTACTCACGCTTCCGCACAAAAGGAGTGGACGAGGCCTGCAGGAAACAAAACAGAAATTCGTCCGGAAACAATGAGCTATTGAAAAAAAATCCAAGAATTTTTTATTTTTTCCGTCCAATGTTATCCGCGCCAAAATGGTAAGAGTTTTTATTATTTTTGTTGGATTTTCAGGTAGAATTATGAAGATTGAAGGATTTTGAGATGAAATATATTAGGTCCAAGGAAAATTTCGAGGGTTAGGGAGGTGATTTCGAGCTCCAGATCTTACACTTGATAGCTGATGGGAAAATAATTTTTTCTTTGTGAATTACATGGGTTGTTGTGAACTTTTATGGCAGAATACGAAGATTATGGCTTTATGCAGGCTAGAATATAATTTTACATCATAATCTCAACGCATGAAATAGAAATTTTTGACATAAGATCTTGTACTTGATGCTCAATGGGAAAATTGCGTTTATAAACCAAATAAACTCTGGAACAGCACTTGAAGTAGTTGTATACTTAACTAATTAACTTATCTAAAAAGCTATGTGCGTTTTTAATTTGATTTTTGCGATTTTACCATCTTCTTGTCAGTTTATATTATTTTAGGTAAAAAAGTTATTAACTTTTTGTAATATTTTTGAACTCAATGGTAAATGTTACCAGATTTAGACAAAAACTGTCCTCAAGGCTATTCAAGCAAGATCTAGAGAAATTTCCTTCTTTCGAAGCAAGATTCCTAAGTTTATTACCTAAATTATCGATTTTTTATCGAAGCTAAACTATTTTTCTACTTATTTCCGTTTCAGATTCTTCCCAGGTGGAATCTATTACACATTCTTCAATTTTCTACTCTATTTTGGTATTGCTCGTCGATCCGATTTCCATATTATTCACCAGACGCTTATCCGGACTCTGAACGAGACTTTTCGCTATGTAGAATGCCTTGGAGATCGTTGGTTTGTGATCCAAATGAGATTCTCAGCGAAGAAGGTAACTTTTGGTGTTTTTGGTTTTGATTTTAGGACGAAAGAACATAAAAAATAAGAGTTTTACCTTGTTTAAGACGAAAAGATGGAAAATTTTCGCAAATTTTATGGGAAATTGAGATTTATATCGATTTTTGTCGGAATAGTGATGCTTATTATGTCTATGATGTTTTGCCACTAATTTCGATTATTTCAGGGCTTCTCCAACTGGACCGATCAACAAAATTCATCTTGAACAAGACCAAATGTCCGTGCGCTTCTTACGACAGTCCCATGGGCTACTGCACTAAAGAAACTGGCTATTCGATATCAATCGCCGTCTTAGACAGTATTTACGTCGAATCCAGTGAATTGTAAGTCCATCTGAAAATTCTCTGACCTTATTTTAGAGTGATAAAAGAGCGGCTGGAAAGGATATTTCCTGAGGCACTGAGGCGAAAGCAATCACGCGGGCAATGCGATGACGATATTTTGATTGTCTTGGCTGTCAAGAATCGAATTGTAAGAGAAGTTTGAGACCTCGATTACTGTAATTTTTTCTATTCTTAGGTGGCTACATCAGTTGGGTCCGTGGCTAGACGAAAATTGAACTACGAGATTGTCGATAAGGTCACAGAGTTGGCTAGTAAGTGTTTGAGATATTTTGTTTTGTTTTTAGGGAGTTCCGGGGCTTTTCAAGTTTTCGTGGTGGGACACAAATTGATGATGAATGGCCTTAAAAAAGCCTGTTGATTCGGTGATTTTAGAATAGTTTGGGTAAAATACGGTGCAACCTTGTGTCCGGTCTCCTTTTTTTACCAAAAATTAGGCTTTACCTAGTGCAATATAAAAAATTTTCAAATTGATGTCTAAAATAATATAATTTTTTGCAGAATTCCGTTATTTCGATGATGGCGACTACGCACGAGGCCTCAACTTGATGGTAGAGATATTTGGAAAGGTTTTGGCGGGTGAAAATTACTTGGAAGTTTTGCCTTCAAAAGTGGAACGGCTTTATTTCTACAAACTCAAAAACCTTTTCCCCAGTTGGCCAATTTGGCTCACTTTCCTCGTTTTGGTCGGAATTCCCGCAATTGTCGTGCTGATCGTCCTGATCACGGCGTTGATCATCTCCCTTCGGAAATACCTCAGGATCACCAGATACGGATATCAGAGTGGGAACCCGGACGAGCCCACTGACGAGCTGACCGAAACGTCCCTCACTTCCTCTCTGAACTCCAGCTAACATATTTCTAAACGATTATACGGTGTAGAGTCGCATATGTCTATATTGTGTATATTGCACTAGGTCAGATAATAACATCGATTATTGTTGTGTATAAATTCTAATGTATCGAAAGGAATGGGGGTTTTTACTTGTAAAAAATACAAAATAACCGAGCGGCGGAGTCATACTTCTTATTGTTAGGCCTGATAGGATCACTCGGCATCTCCTCATTTCCAGTCTTTCATCAAGAAAAAAATATTGAAAATCTCGCCTTCCGAACAAGGAAACAAGCTAAAATTTTGACCAATTAACGTTTGCTCTATGCAAAATTAACATGCAAAATTTGAGGGAAATGTGTATAAAAGACCCGCGCCTCTTTTATAAACGATTCAAAAACTGCACTGGATTCTCTGTTTTCCCGCCCGCGGACCGAATCGAGAGAAATCAAAAGAGACAGGGAGCGTGCAGGGATGGCCGAGTGGTCTAAGGCGCTAGACTCAAGCGAAAAGCTTCGTTGCGGTGCAACGGCGAGCGTTCTAGTATCGTTATCGATGCGTGGGTTCGAATCGCACTTCCTGCAGGATATTTTTTTGACTTTTTTGAATTGTAAATATCGTATTTTACATTAATTTTTGAGAGTAATCGGGGTTTTATAGTGATATTGGGGCTAGTTCGATTCCCACTTAACTTTTCGTTTTTTTAGAGACCATATAAGCCGTTTTTCAGTGATTGCCGGGATAAGATTTAAAAAATGTAAGTGTAAAATGTAGACTAACGTTTCTGGTGTTTAAAAGTCACTTCGTTTATTATTTTGAGTCAAGAAATTACATTTGATTCAATTCCCAAAAAATCATTCTGACAACATATCTCCCCGTATTTTACATATTACAGTAAATGTTACACTTTTTTAATATGGGGTGTCAGGATTAAAAAGTTCGTTTTTCAACGCTCACAGAGGTCGCGTGAAGGTTTGCTCATCATTCACCCGATGAAAAGAGCCTTTCAAAGAGCCCGAAAACACCCTCCATTGGAAAAGAAATGCGTCCCTTTTTCGATGAGAGAGCGTTTTTCTCTCACCGTCTGCCAATGATTTTTTCGATTTTCCGGCCGAATTTTGATGAAACTTGCTGAAATTTTTTATAATTATGAAAACTGGATGCCTTGGGCTATATTTTTGCGATTTTTGAATTTCCGAAAATTTGCATATTTAAAAATGTTTTGAGCTTTGAAAAATTTGACCGATGGAAAATAGCGAGTTCCGGGCGAAAAATCACTAATTAAAAATTGGAAATGGATTCAGATAGCCTGATCTTGTTTTAGACGGTATAATTTTTCAACAAAAATCCTATATTTGCATAATTTTTGGATTTAAAAAAAAATTTTTTTTTTTGATAATGACTGCAAAATTCTTGCAGCTAAACATAAAAAAATTTACCAGAGTGGTACAAATGGTCCTCTCTTGTTATGCCAAGTCACAATTTCTGGAAAAACTGGCAAAAATTTGCATAAATCTCCCATTTTTCCCAAAATTCCCAATGACTTCAAAAGTCCGCAAAACTTCCAAATTTGCATATTCCCCTCATTTTTCCAATTCCTCGGCCGTCATTCTCGATTTTCATTCCTTTCCTCGTGTGTCGCGTTGATTAGTCGTCCGAGCGGTCGTCTCTTCTCGGCACGATGATTGCCGTTGTCTTTGCGGCCGCAGTGGCCGCACTCCTCGCCTACTACTTCCTGGTGTTGAAGGTAAGTAGAGTATTTGTTGAGGATGCCATGCAGATTATTTTAGCCGATTTTTGGGTTAGTCGGGCTTTTGGCTGGCGAGGAATCGAGATTTTTCGAAATTTTTGCCTTTTTTGGGGGTTTTCGGAAAAATGAAATTTTTTTTAAAAAAATATGAGGTTAAATACGCCGTTTACATAATATACAAGTTATTTCCGAAAATTTAATTCACTTTCAAAACATTGGCTAGCCAAAAAATCCTTTAAATTGCAAAAAAACTTAATTTTTTAGCAAAAAATGGCTGATTTTTGATATTTTTTGATTTTTCCTGCGGCAAAAAGGCTTGAAAAGTAAGCTAAACCGTTTTCAAAATAAGATTAAAGCTTCTACAATTAATTTTGGCCACTTTCAGAAGCAGCAAGAAGATGGTTCAGCCGCACCGAAGTCGGAAACAAAACGCGCGGCCCCCGTGAAATCGTCGACAAGTCTTCGGACTGGTGTAAGTTTTTCTTCCTGCAAAATTTTTTACTTTTATTTTGCGTTCTACTTTAATTTTGAGTCCCAATTTTCTTTCAGAAAGAGAATTCGCGGCGTCAGAAGCCGATCAAAATCATCGAATTGTCCTTGGGTGGGGATGACTCTGCTCCGGGAGTCGTGCACACGGCTCAAGCGCCAATTCGAGTATGTATAGAACTGTTTTTTACTGTTTTTTTACAGTGAGGGACCTAATACAGTGGCAAAAAAACGTACCATTTTGCATCCGGGAAGTCTCAAAAATGTGGCAAAATACCTCCCTTTCCAAGTGAAAAACTCAGTTTTGAAGGGCGCCTTATCTCAAAAATAGCGGGTGCCCTTCAAAATGGAGTTTTTTTCACTTGGAGAGGGAGGTATTTTGCTGCATTTTTGGTACTTCCAGGATGCAAAATAGTGCGCTTTTGGCCACTGGGGTAAAAGTTCCTTATTCTGGCCACAACTTATAACTTTGCGGAAACTGGTCAGAATTAACCCAAATTTGGCGTGCAGGGTCAATTCATCGTTGTCGATGCCCGAACGGTGGCCGTAGTTAGTGAGGTACCTTCTTTTTTTACGTACCACCCTTTAAAAACGGCTGCAACCTGCGATTTTACACTTTATACGATAAAACCTGTCCGGAACTAAACTTATTGCCTCCGTGTAGGACTATATGATTCGTCATAGCCTTCGTAGGTACCGTTAAAGCTATAGAGCTATTGTATTAATTCAGTACCAGCTAGGTCGAAGCCTTTTTTTCCTAACTTTAGTTCCCCAACTTAGGCGCAGTTCGCAGAGTACCTTTGTTGTGGCCAGAATAAGGAATTTTTTTCCGCCACTGGATCAGGTCCGCCACTGTATCTTTTTTTTGTTTGAGCCATTCTTTACCCAACCTTTTCTTTAGTCGCCAGCTCCGGCTTCAGAGCCAAAGCCCGCTCCGCCTCCGGAGCCAGCGGCTGCTCCACCTCCACCGCCGCCTCCAGAACAGCCTCCGCCGCCCCCCGCACAAGCCCCGCCGCCACAGCCCCCTCCAAGCGCCGAACGCGAGTCAACGGACGTTGTGACGGCCCAAAACCCGAAACCCGACGAGATCACCGACCCAAGTGCCCCGTCGAAGGATGTTGTAACTGCCCAAAACCCGAAACCCGATGAAATCACCGACCCAAGCGCCCCGTCCAAGGACGTGGCCACGGCTCAGGTCCCCGTTGATGAGAAGACCGACCCCAACGCCCCGTCAAAGGACGTTGTAACGGCGCAGATCCCGAAACCCGACGAAGTCACCGATCCGAATGCGCCGTCCAAGGACGTGGGCACGGCTCGGATCCCGGTCGATGAGAAGACCGACCCGAATGCGCCGAGCAAGAATGTGGCGACGGCCAAGGATCCGGACGCGCGGTCGGCGGAAAAGCCCTCGAGCGATGTGGGAACGGCGGTGGCGCCGGGCGAGGCGGCGCAAGCGGGAGAGGCCAGCGAACCGCCGAAAGCACCTGGCACCGCGCCGGTCTTCGATCCGGCACTGGATGAGTGAGTTTTGGGAGGATTTGGGAGTTTGAAGGTTTTCGTGGTGGGACCAAAGAAAAAATAAATTTTTAGGAAAAAGGAGAAAGACGGGGTTGAAATTTTTTTAGAATACAACTAATGGCCTTCTGGCTCTTTTTGACTCATTTTGACCTCATTTTGCGACATGAAATGTTTTCGTGCCGAGACCCAAAGCAAAAAATTTTTTTTGGCCTAAATGACGAAATTTTCTTCCGAAGGCCATAATACATACATGCCACGCCAAAATTTCACAATTTCGTATTTTACCCCATTTTTCAGGAACAAGAAACATAAACACAAGCACAGAAAACATAAGAAGAAGAGCAAGCGTGACGGCGAGGACAAAAAGAAGGACAAGTCCAAGAAGAAGCGCTCCAAAAAGTCCAAGAAGAAGAGGAGCAAGAAGAGCAAGTCCACTCAAGACGCTCCCGGTGACGCCCAGCCTGCCCCAGATGCTCCTCCAGCTTCATGAGGCTCTGGAAAATAATTCGGCGTTTTCTGCTTGTGTTGACTTGACGGAGTAAAGGAATTTTGAAAATTATGACTATTATGGGCTTATTCGACTATTGGCACAAATTTTTGTCTTTTAGTCCAATGAAATCGAGATTTTTGAATGTTTCACAGCGCAAGCAATGAATGCCAAAAAATCTTGGCATTGTGTGGCAATCTCGGAAAATGCTGAAATTCTTGGTTTTTTCGAGAAAGTTTCATAAAAAATAGTTTACAAACAAAAACAACGTGTAAGAGTTAGTTTTCGACTGATTTCGGAGCGATGGCTGCCCCTCCTGACCACTCTACATCTCCATCTTCACCTTCCCGACTAGGCCTCAACCCTGAACAGCTCAAATGGCTCCTCTCCAAACTTTCATCGGACGATCAAGAAGAGGTCTCCAAGATCATGAAAGACTGCACCTCCGAGATGACCTTTTCACGAGGAATGCCATTCGCGATTGGAACAATGTTATCCATGTGGTTTGTGCGGAACCGGCTGCCGGAGAAGTATTGGATCGGCCCGAAGTCCTCGATCCCTTTCTACATGCTCATTGGGTTTGGTTCGTTGACGGCGGCAAATTTGTTGTCCATGAATACGTGTGCGGATCGGGTGAGACCGAAATTGACAAGTCTTTACGAAAAGGTGGGTAGTTTAATATTTTTTGGTTTTTATGTTTAGGTAAAGATGAATTTGATGGCAAATTAAGTATAGAAAGGTGTGTTCAAGCTCTAGCAAGCTTTTGGAAAATTTTACGCTAAGAATTTGTTTAAATTCCGCTGGTTTTAACGATATTATGCTTGAGGTGTTAGGTCAAGTGTAATATCGAAATTTTTGCCGTTTTCTTGCAAATTTCTTTTGACAAAGATGGTGAATGGCTAGATATTGCTATTCTGCTTTTTAAACATTTGCAACCCCAGTGGTTCTACTGGATTTTATGATGTTGCACTTGGTAATCCTAGTATCAAGTATAATATCGAAATAAATTCGATTTTTGGTTTATCGAAAAGGCTTACAGGTTAGATAAAGATTTTCTGGACCTTCAAGAGTTCTGAGGGCTTTTAACACTTGTCTTTTTATTAATGATTGACCTTATATTACACTTGACTTATCAGCTGTCAGAGCATGGACAAAACTCTTCGCCAACCCTCTGATTCCTTCCTAATTTCAGTACAACAACCTCTCCGCTGAAGGCGGCGTCGCGATAGATCGTTATGCCCAGCTGCGGCAGCAAAATCGTTCGGGTGTGACGTTGGGAAACATTTTGGAGCAGCAGCGAGACGCCGAAGCGAGTTATCAAGAACGAAAACGGATCGAGGACGAGAAAGAGCGCGCCAAATACGTGTGGGACGAGAGTGCCCCACTCCTAAGTGGTACCCCAACCAGTCGCAGTGTCCACAGCATTCCATCGAACTTTTTCGGAGACCCAAAATCATCTTCCACTAGCTATGGGGACAAAGATTTCTCGTGAACTCGCAATTTTAGGTGTAAAAATAAAAATTCTGAATATTTTCTGAGTTTTGGTTTTGATTTTCCTTCAATTTGAAGTTGCTTTTTACCGGTTGATTGGTCGATTTTGGAATGACAAGGCAGATTTCTTGGAAGAATTGGATTTTTCGAAAAACTCCGAGAGAAGAATATGTTTTGAAGGTAATTTTGGGTTGAAAATTTGATTTTTAGGGTATTCGAGAGGTGCTTGTTCATTGAGGATATTAAGTTTGGTAGGAAGAGATAAAAAATTTCATGGATAATATCCGAACCTCTCATGGATAATATAAAAATTGCTCTAAAATTGAGGGCTCAAGTTGTCTAAGGGTTCTAAAATAAATTTCACGACTTTATATACCGTTTTTATCATCCTTTGGCCATCTAAAGATGGTGAATTTTGCTTGAAACACAATGCCAAGAATTTTGAAAACTCGAATTTTTTGAAAAATTTTCGCCAAAAAAATCAGAAATAACAAAAATTCAAGTGATTTTAGGACAAGACCTTACGTTTGCATCATGATCACTATATTTTTTACAAATATTTGAAAACTTTTCGCGAAGACGCCGATGCCACGGAATGGGAGAGAATTTTGCTCGCTGTGGATGGAATTGTTGGTCCATGGAACTTGATCCTGCTCCCGTATTACTGTATTCTACATGGCGGAGGTATTTTGTAACCAATTTTTTATTTTGTAAAATTTTTTTGATTTTTTTTAATTTCTCAATTTTTTGATGGTTTTGAGCCGAAAATTTGATATAACGCAAAAATTTCCAAAGATTATTGCTAAATTTGTTGAGTAAAACGTTCTTTACAGTCAACTTCATGATCCCATATGCGATTGTCTACTTTTTCGTCGCCATTCCACTCTATTTTCTCGAATTTTTACTGGCCAAAATCACAAAACTGGGTCCCGAAAGGGTTTTGTCGTTTCTAAACCCAACTTATCGAGGTAAGCTGCCTAAATATCTTGTGTAATGTCTGTCTCAGGTATGACGGTGGCTATCTATGTGGTTGGGCTGCTGCAAACAATTGTTTTCGGGACTTATGGAGTGAAATTCCTCGAATTAGCCAAAATCCAGCTGGATAGTAAGAAATTTTTAAAATTTTGCTCCAAGAAACACTCGAATTGATGTCTAAAACATCTCTTCTTTCTAGAGAGTCAAAATGTAGAGCTGGATTTGGTCAGTCACACCTGGATCAACGGCTTATTGGAGGAAGGTTGCGATGATAACGAGATTTTTGGATGTTTTCCTATAAAGTAGGTCGAAAAAGTCGATTTTATTAATGAAATTGTTAATAAAAGTAAAAATAAAGAAGTGTTGAAGCTTCAGAGATGTTTATTTCGCTAAAAAATAATTGAAAATCAACTGAAAATAAGCAAAAAGGCATTACTTCCCATGCCGGGAATCGAACCCGGGCCGCGTGGGTGAAAGCCACGAATCCTAACCACTAGACCACATGGGAGACGGCGCTGGGTGTCTTCGTTTCTCTCCAAACAAAAGGAAAAGGGGAAATGGATGGAGTTGAGCTTGTTTTAGCCTATTTTTAGCGATTTAAAAATTTAAAAATTGCAATAATTTTGTTTTTATTGTATTTCAGACATCTTAGACTTGTTTTTCTCCAATTTTCAAAGGTTTTAGCAGTCAATTTTATCAGAAATAGGTAAAAAATCTCAAAATTCCCCGATTTTTTTGATAATACGACCATAATTTTTTAGAAACTACGCCGACTGTCGCCGCAATCCCATTCAGGAAATTTGCGATCCATTTTGGGCCTCTGAAAATGATCGATATTATCAAGTGTCGCATGGTTTCACCCCAACTTTCCAATATAACCTCGAGAACAGCTCCATTTTGAATCCCCATCAATTTACAGCTGACGTGGAGCCATTTCCCACCACGCATTTTGTTTTCTGGGCCCTAGTTACTCTTCTCTCACTGGAGACCGCCTCATATGTCGCGAAATTCAGCTTGGTCCTGAAGATTTGCGGAATCACCATGTTGGCAGTCTGCGCCCACACTGCGTACAAAAATCACGGTGGACGGGAGGGTTTGAAGTTCTTCTATCAAGCAGAGGTGCAGAGGATCTTTGAAAACACTTTGTGGCCAAATGCTGTGGGACTGGCGTTCATGTCGCTGAGGTGAGAGGAGTTATATTGTACTTGATATCAACAGCTAAAATAAGGAAATTTTAAGAAAGTTTTTTACTTTTTATTGTTTTAGATTTCGTATTTCAGCTGTTGCAACGGTTTCCTCCACAAGATTGGGTCAATTTCGAAGAGACGATCAAGAACTGCACTGAAAACTCTGGCTGTGGTCATTATAGCTGATTGGAGTGTAAAAAGTATTGTGATCACCCTATTTTACTGCTCGGTTGGCGTCGTGGCTGGTGAGTTTCATTTTCCTACGCCTTAATTTACTATGCATTTCTGAAAAACTGCGAATTTTGAATGATTTTCAAAAAATTTTTGGTCTCACCACGAAAACTTGACATCTTTGTTTAGACCTTTAAATGGCTTCTAAACGTTATTTTTGAACAAGTTATACCCTTTTTGACCTTTTTAGGACAATATTTTTGAAAGAAGTTTTGATTTTTACAATTTTTTTGGTCTCGTCACGAAAACTTGGCATCTTTGTTTAGGCCTTAAAATGGCTTCTAGAAGTTATTTTTAAACAAGTTATACCCTTTTTGGCCTTTTTAGGACAATATTTTTGAAAGAAGTTTCGATTTTTACAATTTTTTTGGTCTCATGACGAAAACTTGGCATCTTGGTTTAGGCCTTTAAAAGGCTTCTCAAAGTGCTTTTCAGCCAAGTTATACCCTTTTTGGCCTTTAGGACAAATTTTTGAAAGAAATTTTGATTTCTACAATTTTTTTGGTCCCACCACGAAAACTTGGCACTGCGTTTCAGACCTCTAAGTATGTTTTAAAACTGATTTTAGTCACACTACACCCCGATTGGAGCCCCGCAAACGCAATAAACGATTATTTGAGGCAAGGAGGAGTACTGTCAATTACTGCGTTCCCGGAATACAAGTTGATCTCGGAAAAGTTTTTACAATTCGACAGAACAAACTTGATGTTTTATTTCCTAGTCCTGGTCTTGTTCTGCGCAAGGACTTGTGTAAGTTTGAGTAGATTTTTTTGGATTTTTTGAGGGTTTTTTCAAAAATTTTTGTTACAGTAACCCAAGTGTGTGATATTTGGATCGGAAGTGGGAAAAATTTAAAATTTTTTTCGATTTTTGAGTTTAAAATTTCAGGCTTGATTAGAAGTAAGGTGCACAGTATTTCCAGAAGAAATTAGTCTTTTCCCAGTGCTATGCGAAAAATTATAGATGAAAAAAGTTTTTTTTGTCTGGCCGACTCTCCTCATTTTCTATGCTCTCTTGGAAAAAAGATTGCAAAATATCTCGGCTCTCCATTTAAGTTGTGATCTAAAATTTCTAGCGGTTGCTTTGGGGGTCGTTCAGAGTCTGTGTGCCAAATTTGGAGTTAATTGAAATATTGAACTTACCCTATACAGTGACGGACCTGATTCAGTGGCAAACAACGTGCCATTTTGCATCCAGGAAGTATCAAAAAATGTAGCAAAATACACCTCCCTCTCCAACTAAAAATACTCTGTTTTGAAGGGCGCTTGGAAGCGTTGCGAAGCCACCAAGAAAAATCATCACTAAGCGTTACGGTATTCCAAAATGCGCCATGGTTTTACATCAAAAAAAGTGAAACAGACACTTTTTGAAAGTTGGACTTATAAATCAGCTAAACCGAAAGCTCGGATGCTAAAAATAAAGCTGAGTGTCCTATGAAGTACCAGCCTTGATAATTTACAGTGACGGACCTGATCCAGTGGCAAAAAACGTACCATTGTGCATCCAGGAAGTATCAAAAAATGTAGCAAAATACCTCCCTCTCCAACTAAAAATACTCTGTTTTGAAGGGTCCCTCACAAAAAGGGCGGACGACCTTTTGAAATCGGAGTTTTTTCACTTGAAGAGGGAAGTATTTTGCTACATTTTTTCATGCTTCCCGGATGCAAAATTATACGTTTTTTGTCACTGGATCAAGTCGGTCACTGTAAGTTCCCTATATTTTTTCAATTTCCCCCCTTTTCCAGAGCCTCTATCTCCTCGAACTCGAGAGTTTGATCCAAAATGGCGCCACAGTCCGGCTGATTTGCGGAGGTATTGCCTCAAGTATCAGCAGATTCGGCCTAATCACGATCTGTGGCATCTTTTTGGCCCTAATTTCGGTTGGATTCGCTTTTCCAACCACTTTTTTGGCGATTATGCCCATTCAAGACGGCCTCGTGGCCAGTGTTGTGGTAGTGGCGACCGGTGAACTCTTGGTGATTGGGTTTGCGTACTCGGTGAAGAAGTTTTTGGAGTGAGTTTGGATTAAAAACAAGGTCAAATTTTTTTATCGCAAAAAAAATTTTTTTTTCACAAGGAAAGTACTTCTATGGGGTGTGGAATTACCGGTCGAGATATATATCAAAAAAATCGCAAAAATTTTCTGATTCAGAATATATAAAAATTAGCTGCCTAATTTTGGTCTATCAGCGAGTTTTTTCAATAAATGTTTTTCTCGAGGAAAAAAATCTGCGGCAACAAAAGCGAGCTCGGTCTCTTCCTTCGGAAGAGAGCGGCGTGGCCGAGTGGTTAGAGCGCTAGATTGGGAATCCGAGGGGAACGGGTTCGATTCCTTTTGCCACACTAGAACCCATTTTTACATTGGAACTACTTTTAAGGTGTAGTTGTAATCCAATTTGATATTTTAAGGCTTGTCAAGGCCTCAGAATTTATTTTAGCACAAAACAAAAATTTTTTATTGGTAAAAACACGGTCAAAAAGACACTTGCATGGTGTCGCGAGAAAACTTCTGAGGACAAAAACATGTCATTAGACCAAAATTAGGCAGCTAATTTATATATATTCTGAATCAGAAAATTTTTGCGAATTTTTTGATATATATCTCGACCGGTAATTCCACACCCCATAGAAGTACTTTCCTTGTCAGAGATATCGATTTTTACACTCTCCCGGCCTCAACGCCTGTGCATTGGTTCCTGTCGATCCAAGCCACGGTCTTCATTCCGTCCGTTTTGTTGGTAAGTTGCCTAGTGTAATATAATCAAAATTGGAAATTGAGCCCAATTTTGGTGTAGATAGGTCAGTCTTGACTTGTCGATGATGTTTATGAAATTTCAGTCCACGGTGGTTAGCCAAGCCACGGACTTTTCGGACCTTGTCTACGGGGACTTTCGGTTCCCGGCCAGTTTGAAGGTGATTGAATATGTGATCCCGTTCATTGTGCTGATGTAAGTTTTAAGGTGATATATGTTGCCAAGATGGCTTGTCACGAACCTCATAGGAGGTTGTATAGTTTATTTTGCATTTGGGTCAACTGTTTCTCTCTTGGGTCAACTGTTTCCCGCAAGGGTCAACTCTGTTTTTATTAGGTTAACTTTTGCTCTGCCGAGTCAGGTGCTTCCTTCTATGATGTACTGTTCGATTCTAGGGTCAACTAGTCATTATTTGGGTCAACTGTTTCTCTCTTGGGTCAACTGTTTCCCGCAAGAGTCAACTCTTACTTTATTGGGTAAACTTTTTCTCTGTTGGGGCAAGTGCTTCCTTCTATGATGTACTGTTAAATTCTAGAGTCAATTAGTCATCATTTGGGTCAACTGTTTCCTTATTAGGTTAACCTTTTCTGTATTGAGTCGGGTACCTCCATCTATGATCTACTCTTTTTTTCTATGGTCAAATAGTCATCATTTAGGTCAACTGTTGCTCACATTGGTCAACTGTTTCTCTCATAGGTCAACTGTCATCTTTTTGGGTTTATCTTTTTCTGTTGGGTCAGGTATTAGGATCTAGTCTTCCTTGGGTCAATTAATCATCATTTGGGTCAACTGTTTCTCTCTAGGGTCAACCTTTGTATTATTAGGTCAAGCTTTTCTGTGTTGGGTCAGGTGTCTCCGTCTATGATATACTCTGCAATTCTAGAGTCAACTAGTCCTCCCGTGGGTCAACTCTTTCTCCCATGGGTCAACTCTTTTTCTGCTGGGCTAACTATCCCCCTGGGTTTCATTTTAAAACAAACAACTTTCAAATCTAAGTATCGATTATTTTCAGCGCAATCTGCCCTCTGACCTTCCTCCTCTGCACCAAAAAGGAGCTCAACATGGAAACCCTGTTCTCAGTTTCAAAGGAATGGAAAGAGCGCGCTAGAATTGTTTCCAACGACCATAAAAATGTCGAGAAGCTTGATTATGCCGAGCTTTTCCTTCATCATGTCGCTGGATCACCGACTCAAACCACAACAAAGACGGAGGGAGATTCAACGGAAGGCACGAAACTGTCGGATGAGAAGGCGGAAACGGTGGAAAAGGAAAGTGTAGCGCCAAAGCTGACTGTGAATTCGACGGTGAACGAAAATAAAACCACTTTGACTGTTGCCAAGAGTTCTGATACGAAATAAATCGATTTTGAAATTTTTTGGGTATTGGCGGAAGAGTTGACCCAGAAGGGAAGAGTTGACCCAAAAGGAGAAAAGTTGCCTGAAAAATAAAAGAATGGACTGTGCGTATTTTACAACGAATTTTTAATCAAATATTCGGCAATCCAGTGCAAATTAGACAAGATAGGAAGACTTGGCACAATAAGGAAACATTTGACTCAAAAGAGGAAGAGTTTGCCTGAAAAAAATGTAATCAACGTGATTTAAACGATAAATACTTTTTTTACGCACCAAATGCAACAATTGACTCAAGAGAGGAAGACTTGACTCAAGAGAGGGAGACTTGACCCAAGATCCAAAGAAATCTGGTTTCGTATTTTAGACTTGGAAAATGGTCCGTTTTACTACTGGAAATCCGATTTTGACCAAAGATCTTTAGCAAGTCATGATTTTTTTTGTCAAAAAATTCAAAATTTTCAAAAAAATTTCAAGAAATCGACAAAAAAATTTCTTACAAGCAGTCTAAAAAAATTTCCGACGTCTTCTCTCTTCATTTCTCACTCCGAAGCTCGCACTTGGTCGGTGGCAGTTCGATTGCGCTGGAAGGAAATGGAGGACATTGGCTGGGTCCTGATCCAGCTCTCCATTACAACCATTTTCATGCAATGGGCGATGTCGGCATGTTGCAAACGGAATGCACAGTGTGTTCTTTGTATCCTCCTTGCTTAACTTTACGTGGATTTGACCGTATTTTTTAGATTCAAGGTCATGGACTATCGAAGATCTTCGACGACAACGCAGAGCCAGGTGGGCATGGGGATTTTGGGTTAATATACGATTTAATAGAAAGATGAACATTTAATTTTATTCTGTGAAGATTGAATATCGCCATGAGAAGTCTTGAAAGGGGCTTCTAGGGAAAATTTGCCATTTGGGGGTCAGAATTTATATTACGCTTGACATCAAACAAACAGGTCTTGATGATAATTTTTTCATGGAACAGACTGCTTTTTGAACTGAATATCGCAGTTGGGGCCTTAAACCGTTGTAAAAACTCAATATCACCTTGTTCTTCCATTTTTAAAGGCCAAAAATTATATTACACTAGGTTCAATTTACACGGGAATTACCCCAAGTGCCGACGCTCAGATTTTCTTTAAATTTTGCACACACGTCGGGCACCCACCAAGTATCAATTCCTGAAAGTTTTAGCTCGCGATTTGCAAGCGTCACCGTGATATTGAACCATTTTTACCGCGGAGAGAGTAGGCCCAACCCGGAGACCGGTCAGAGAGAAAAACATTTTTTGGCCATAACTTTGGCAGTTTCGCGCGGAAAAAATTGATTTTTTGTGGAAACATTACACTTTACGGTAGAAATAGGTATGCAACTTTTCGTTCCGAAACTCGGCAAAAAGTCCTAAATTTTCGCCCACTATCGATCTAAAATTCTTGGCTGTTTCTGCAAAGCGCGAGCTAGGCTTCTCGCGTATATTTTAGAAAAAATTATTCTAAATTTGTGCCAAATTTCATCAAAATCTAAGCGTCGCACTTGGGGTACTTCCCTTGTTAGTCCAATACAAAGTTTGAGCTGTTTCGCAGTCATGAATAGCCTATATTTGAACTCTCTAGTTACGAATAGGCTAACTGACGCCTTAGAAGGTTAAAAACAAAATATTTTTTTTTTATCATTTTCAATCTAAATTTTATATTATATCTTCTTCTAATACCCCGCCAAAATTTTTTTCTGCCAATATTCTTATATCAGCACAATCAAAATTCCGTTCCAGACCCGAAGTACCGACAAGTCCAAGAGCACAGAGGTCACCAAACCGCCTCCGGTAAAACAAATCTTTGTGCCTCCCCACAGCTCGGACCTCTTGTCTTCGCCGACCCCAACAGATGACCTCCCGAAGCCCAAAGAAGCCCCTCCACCGGCAATGCCAAAGTCAAGCAACTCGGCGGAGGTCGTGCCCAAGAAAGACGACTCTTTTTCGAAGCGAAAGCCGGTTGTGGTGGAAGCGAAGCGCACCGGCTTCATCCAGGAGCGGGGATTCGTGGGCCGCGAAAGGGATGACTATAAGACGATGCGGACCGGGCTACCGTCCAGCGACTTTGAGGACTCTGTTTAGAGAAATGAATAGTGATTTGACAGTGAATAAACCTTATCTTACTTGGATTTTGGTTGTCTTCTGGCTAAATTGGTTGAACCTGAACTCTACCCCTTTTCTGAACTTTACCCCTTTTCAACTCTACCCCTTGAATGAACTTTACCCCTTTTTGAACACTACCCCTCATTTTGAAATTGAAAAAATGAGGTGTGACATCTTATACGATGAAAAATTTTTTCAAATTGAGAAAAATTAGGTGTGACGTCTTATACGATGAAAATTTTTTTCAAATTGAAAATAATAAGGTGTGACATCTTATACGATGAAAAATTTTTCTCAATTTGAAAAAGTTTTTTATCGTATAAGACGTCACACCTCATTTTTCTCAATTTGAAAAAAATTTTCATCGTATAAGATGTCACACCTTATTATTTTCAATTTGAAAAAAATTTTCATCGTATAAGATGTCACACCTTATTATTTTCAATTTGAAAAAAATTTTCATCGTATAAGATGTCACACCTTATTATTTTCAATCTGAAAAAAATTTTCATCGTATAAGATGTCACACCTTATTTTTTCAATTTTCAAAATGGGGTAGTGTTCAAAAAGGGGTAGAGTTCAGATTAGAGGTGGCAATCGGGCCGGGCCGGGCCGAATTTTGCGGCCCGGCCCGCGGGCCGAAGGTGACCAGGCCGGCCCTGGGCTTTTTCAAATTTGCTCAAGCCCGGCCCGGTGAAAGCCCAGGCCGGCCCGGCCCTGTTTGGCCCGCTAATGCAAAAAGATTGGATAAAAGTCTACGCACTCTCGACTGGAACTTTTTGTGCTTTCCAGCGGGGTTTTACGTCTACATGAGTGGAATTAAAAGGTCTAGTCGGCTGACTGGAATAGCCGAACAGGTATTTAAAACCTAGCCAAAAAGTTGGGTTGTGTCGATTTTTTTATCCTATAGGAAGTTAGCTACGTAAATATGGACGTTATGAGTGTAAATGTTTAATCAAAAACTGCGTAGACACGTTCATTTACATCAAGGAATCAAATTACAGCGAAATGTTTAAATTTATCATCAAAAAATTCGAAGATTCGCCCGATCCTTGCATATTTGGGTGGAATTTTACATATACATAATCAGGGATTTTAAAGACTTTGAAAAGGTGGTAAAACAGTATATAAGTCAACAAAGTTTTAATTTAATATCCATCCATCAATTCTGCTAAGCATTTGTGCTTTATTTTGCTGGTTTAGTATTAATTTTTTTCACTTATCAACCTTCCGGGCCGGGCCGGGCCGAAAGTCTCGGCCCGGCCGACGGGCCGAAACTGTCAGGCCGGCCCTGGGCTTTTTCAAATCTGCTCAGGCCCGGCCCGGCCCAATTGCCACCTCTAGTTCAGATTTTTTGGCGAAAATCAAAAAAGGGGTAGAGTTCAGCCTTTTTTGGGGTAGAGTTGAAAAAGGGGTAAAGTTCAGATTGGGGTAAAGTTCAGAAAAGGGGTAGAGTTCTGCCGCAACGGGCTAAATTTAACTTTGCGTCAAGTCTTCCTCTGTTGGGTCAAGTCTCCTCTCAATATTGAGGACTGTGTTTAGAGAAATAAATGGTGGTTTGACAGTGAATAAAAGGTTCTTTGCTTGAATTTTGGTTTTTTTGTCTCATTTGAACTCTGCGTCAAGTCTTTCTCTGCTGGGTCACACCTTTCCCGACGGCGTTGATAAAGTTGTTTCGGGAAAATTAATGATGGTTTTGATAGTAATAAACCATATTTTACCCCAATTTTGGTTTTTTTGACTCACCTTAGTTTCCGTCAAGTCTTCCTCATTTTGGGTCAACTTTTTTTCTTGATCTAGCGGCTTTGACGACTCTGTCTAAAGAAATAAATGATGATTTTGATAGTAGAAAAAAGCCTGGGTGTTCTAAATGTCATTTCGGAATTTCTTAGACGTCAAGTTTTGCAAATTTGTCAAGTGCTTCTCTCTTGTGTCAAGTCTCCCTTTTGAGCCAGCATTTGCTCTAGAAGTATGAAATATTGCAAAATAATAAAGCAACATGATTTAAATTATGATACACTAGCCGTTTCAAATTTTGGGTCAAGTCTTCCCCTTCTGAGTTTCTTTTAGAGTCAACTGTTTTCCTAAACGTAGGAAACATGAAACTACGTCAGAAAATGTATGAAAACTTTTGATGAAGTTTTTTTTTGTCTTCTGAGACAAGTTTTCTCCTTATGAGTCAAGTTTTTTCCTGTTGGGTCAACTCTTTCACCAGTATTTAAAATCGATTTCAATGATCATCGTGGTTAAAATACGCAGCAGTCAACTGCAGAGCAGTTAAAATTGCAAACATGACATTTCAAAAAATCTCAAAAATTTTTGTCGGAAGTCACGGAAACAGTTGGTGACGTCCAACTCTTCCAAACTGAATGGAATTTCCCGCTGCGAAACGTCGAAATGTAGGCGGCTTTAACGGGTCTTCCAAAAACACAATAAAGTTTGAATTGTGGCGTTTGGACTTGTGCAAAAAGCAGATTTACATTTTTGCGAGCTTTTTGGCCATTTGTATTGAAAACATTGCCCTGACATTCAACGTTTCTCCCTATTTATAGAAGAAATTCAATTTGTGCAAAAAAAATTTTATTTCGATTTTCCTCGAAAATGATGACATTTTTTCCGTCATCCACAATAAAACTTGCCCTTTCGCCGGCATTATCGCTCTCTCATTGTTTTCGGCCCCTCAGGGCGCCAACACTTTGGAGGGCCAAGAGGCCCGACTTGCACATTAATTGTTGGCATCTGCGGGTTTTACGGCTCCTCTTTTCCTTCCTGAACCTTGTAGTCCACATCACCATGGTCCAGAAATTCGTTTCCAATGGTTGTTTGCCTTCGGTTTGCAACACGTAGGAGCGACGTCAAAATCCGGACAAGTTAGGAAATTAGCGACTGGTAATTGGCCAATTAGTGGCCAATTTTGGGTTCCTTATTGGTCGAGTGAGGTCAAAAAGACAAAACGAATTTTTTGCGGCCATTTATTTTGATTTTTTGACGAAAATTTTTTAAAAATCGCATAAAATCGTCAGAAATAGCAAAAAATTCTAAAATTTTTTATTTTTCTGATTTTTCAAACAGTTAATTTATACCAAATTTATTTTAAATTGCATATAGATGCCTCTGAATACATTGTGGATCACATGAATTTTTGATTTTTTCATTTTTCGCGCCCAGAAAAAGGGAATTTTTAGAAAATAACGGGCAATTTTCGCCCCTTGCGGAGGAAATGTGACTTTCTTGAGATTCTCTGAGCAGTTTAAAGTGTATTTTTAGTCTACGAATTATTTTCAGAGCCTTCTATTCTTATTCTCTTATTTTTACCTAATTTTTCGCCGAAAATTTAAAAATTTTGGGTCCCACCACGAAAACAATAATTTTCGAAAAACTTGATTTTTCCGCTTCGAGAACATTCTTTGTGCGTGTTAGAGCCCGCAGAGCGAATTGACGTTCAAATTTTGCGAAGATTTTGACAAATTTATGACAAAATTGCTCCTTTGGGAGCTGTTGCCATGTACAGGGTGATTCAAAAAAAATGGACAACTTTTGAAGTTGGTGTATCCCACCACGAATGCCGCAGTCGGTGGAAAGAAAAATAGTTTTACAATCGTCAACGATCCTGCTTCATGAAACCTATTTCAATTTTTAAGATATTTTTGCTGAACGGCTTGTACGAGCCAAAATACTAGGTCAGCCCATATTTTGACCAAATTTTCCAAAAAATTTGTAGGTCCAAAAATCTTTAACGGCTTGAATTCTTGCAGCCAGCTAAAAACTGCGTGTTGACTGTTTATTAAGATACTAAGGGGAATCTAGAAAAGCGAAAACGCTGATATTATTCTATTAATAACGCTCCAACAGTTCGCAACGTGATCCACAAGAGACTTATCCGCATAGTTCTGGATTTTTGGGATGATCGGGTTTCAAAACTTAGTAGGGCGGCCTGGCTTGCGCTAATAACGGCAAAAAGTGATTCCTGTAAGACATATAACATTGCTTTACATGGGTCAGCAGTTGGTTTGATTGTAGATTTCATTAGCCATGTGCTGGGCTTATAAAAGTTTAGCCGGCTCTACCCAGAGACGCCGATATTTTTTGGCCAGAAAAATTTTACTTTTTCGTTGGCTTTCTTCAACAAGCCGCACAACTTTGACAAGCTGCATTTATACGATAGTGATATAAGTCCGTTCTTCAATTTTAAATTGGTCTCCGTTAATTTGAACAAACCTAGCCTTCAGAATCCGCGTATCTTTGCGATGACCCATCAAAAAGTAAAAAAAGTCGAAATTTTGTTTGCAGTTTTGCGAATTAAAGGGTACTGTTGTGAAAAGTCCGTTTAATATACTCACAATAGAGCAGCAAACGTGGTAAAAATGGAATTGGTTCAAAAACTTTGACCACGTTCGGCAGAGCTAAGTTTTTGTAAAATCGCCCAAATGAGCGTTGATTTTCCCTCGCTGGTTGTCTAACTTTTTGCCTCTGATTTTTCATTGTCTGAAAGACCTGGATTAAATCCTTATAAGGTCTTAGAGAATAGGTGTCTGTGTTTCGCTGAGGCCGCTCAGAACGTCTCTGTTACACCCTTAAGACATTTAGGAACGAAAACTTTCCAAATTTCGCCGCGGGAATGTGTGCGCTGACCCGGCAATTTTTAAGCAACCGTATGTCGGCAACTTTTGCAGCTAGTGAACAATTTTTGCAATGAATATGTACACATAACATAGTAGTTTCATGCCATGTGTACTTTTTTCCGAAAAACATTCAAAGCCAAAAGAAATCGAAGAAAGAAAAGTGTCCATTTTTTTTGAATCACCCTGTACAATATTGATGGGGTTGGGAGATGTATGAAGAATATATGTGCTTTATGATGAATGGAATAGACGTTGAAAAAGTTTTAGAGCAATGGGTTTGATTATTATCAAAAAATTTTAAATTTAAATTTCCGCCATTTTTGGCATTCTGTTGCAAGGGCTGGAAATGAAAAAAAA